TTTTGACGAGGGTCTATCCAGAAAAGGCAAAGCAAGTAAGCAGACTAAAACAATTTATCAAGTGTAAACTGAGAACACACAAAAGTCATGCCCAAGAGATACCGTGCAAATGGTCCTCCAATTAACCTAGCGGCATGAACTCATAGACCAACAGCCTTTGATCTCCTTCAGCACAATAACCAATCAATTTAATGAGATTAGGATGGTCAGCCATATTCAATGTCAATACTTCTACAACAAATTCTCGAACCCCCTGGCATCCCTTGTATCAAGTTGCTTTATAGCTACAATCTACATCAAAGCAACAAATAAAGTTCAAGTCCTCAGCCACAAAATTATAAATCGAACATCTCATTAGGATCAGTAAACGATATTCAGATTCATTGCTGAAATTAAACAATGAAATGAATCTAACTGACCTCATTTGTGTCCTGCAAATGACCTTTATAAACTTTTCCAAAACCACCTCACCCAAAAAATTTTCTGCCTTGAAATTCTGCATTGCAGCCAGCAATTCAGCATATGTAAAGGTTCGTGCTTTAACACTATTGGCCTCTCCATCACTAGAAGGGCTCTTACTAGCATCGACCTCCTCTTCCACGGCACGTTTGTTTAAGACCTTGGACTCTTCCTTTGCATCTTTACACGGACTCACTTGTAATGCATCTAATCAAAATATACAACAGTGATTGCCCATCCAAACGATAAAATAAAGAACAACGAAAACACCCCATCCCTTTTCCCTCTATATAGAAAAATATTTATATAATTTATACATATGACTGTATGTGTGCATATATAAAGATTTGTATATATATCTATCTCTCTCTCTCTCTCTCTCTCTCTCTCTCTTGCTCCTCACATAGGAAGAGAAACAGAGCCCATGACAAAGAATGGGGAGAAAGAGTTACAATTTATGTATCTATACATTTTTATTTCTACTGGATTATTTGTCCTTCTTCCTCACGAATTTCTTCTATTCTAACCTGCCTTTTAGAATTACACACACACATTTTCTAAACATTTCATTTTTTAAAACATTTATGATTAAAATAATCAATTATTTCAGAGGCAACGCATTCGAACTATTACTCGATGTTTGAGTA